AGGCAAAGTCTGGTCATCCTAACTTCCAAGGGGCTGTGTGGCTGTACTTCTTCCAACACAGATCTGTTTGTTCTTTTGGCAGTCTGTGGCACTTTCAGCACTCTCCTTCAACACCATAGCTCAAAGGAATCAATTCTTCTATGGTCTTCCTTATTCACTGTCCAACTTTAACAAGCATATGAGGCTATTGAAAATACCAAGCCTTGGATCAGGAGTATTTTAGTCCTCAAACTACCATCTTTGCTCTTGAACATTTTAAAGCAGTCTTGTGCAGATTTGCCTAATGCATGACGTTATTTGATTTCCTGACTGCTGTTTCCATGAGTGCTGATGGTTGGTCTAAGCAAATTGAAGTCTTTGACAACTTCCATCATTTCACCATTTATCTGACGCTATTTATTTGTCCCGTAATAAGGATTTCTGCTCTGTTTACATTGAGATCCAAACCCATACGGAAGACTATGGTCTTGGATCTACATCAGTAAGTATTTTAAGTTCGCTTCGTTTTCAGCAAGCCAGGTTGTATCATCGGCATCTCGTGAGTCTGACTAGCTTGGTTAAAGATGGGCTGCAATTCACCAGAAACCCTGCCTGCCAGATTCCCTCACACTGGCCCAAATGCACTTCCCCAGTTCTCTCATTGGAGCTAACAGATGAGATGGACAGTCACCATTATCTGCATTTAGAAATTTGCTACAGACTTGACTTTTCATGGTTGTTGTTGTTGTTGTTGTTAAATGTAGTCAAGACAGTTCTGAGTCATAGCAACCATGTCTAGGGTTTCCAAAGAGTGGCTAGTGATTTTGAACTGCTGACCTTGTGGTTCAAACGAACTTTGTGGTCCAGTGCTTTATCCCACAGCGCCACACCATGACCCCTATATGAGGGGGTTTCAAAAAATTAGGGGGGAAATATCCATTCTATTTCAATTCCATTTTTCTGTGAACTTTTTGAAGCCCCCTCAAACAGATGTTTGAGAGAAATGTCTTCCTAGTTTCAGTACAGGGAGCAGCTAGATACCTCCTGAATGTTGTAGTTAAGTGCTGTAGATTCAGTTCTGACTCATAGTGACTCTGGATAGGGGTTTCTGAGGAGCAACTGATGGGTTTAAACCGCTGACCTTGTGTTTAGCAGTCCAGTGCGTATTCCTCAGCGCCACACCAGGAGTCCTGAATAGCTTTTCAAAAAACGGTTAGCCATTAGGAATCATGTAAGGGATTGTGTTTTCCTCTTTGCACTGACTACTGGGATGCCTAGGGACAAACTTGTCTACCAGATCACTGGGACATGAGTTTTGCCTTACCTGATTTTGTTTTCTTTCTCCTCTTGTTTTCCCTATCACCTGCTTTTTTTCACCTTTTTCTTTTATTTTTTCCCTGACTCTAATCTCTTTTGGGGACTCGATGGCACAATAGCTATTCCTTTTGGAATCAGAGTACAAGTAAGTCAACTAAGTCTCTTACTGACCTCTTAATTATTCCAGTAACCTACTGGTGGTGTGTTAAGTTCGACTCATAGTGACCCTGTAGGACAGAGCTGAATTGTCCCATACAGCATCCAAAGTTGTAATCTTTATGGAAGCAAGCTGCCATATTGTTCTCCTTTGGAGTGACTGGTAAATTCAAATGCAAATTTTTGCATTAGCAGCCAAGAACTTAACTACAGTACCACCACGGCTCCCTCTCTTAACTACTGTTATTGTTGTTGCTGTGTGTCGTCGAATCCGTTCCAGCTCATAGCATCCCTCCCTGTACAGGGCTTCCATGAGAGGCTGACCTTGTGGTTACCAGTCCAGTGTTTACAACAGTAATAATAGTATTACTAACAGTAGCAACTAGGATACAGAGGATTCCCGGTACGGGATAAGCTGTAGGATAAGCATTGGACTGTGAGCCACAAGGTCTGTGGTTCGAACACGCCAGCCGCTTCTTGGAAACCCTATACAGGATCGCTATGAGTCAGAACCAAGTTGATGGCACTTAACATCAACAGGGTCCAGAGGCGAAGACTGAGGACATGTTCACCTTGTAGTGCTGTGCCCTGAATAGGACCTGATACACAGTAACTGTCCAGGGCCTGGGACATAGTGGTGGTTCTGTTAAGTGTCATCGAGTCAGTTCAGACTCATAGCAAACCTGTCTAGCGTTTCTGAGTGTGGCTGGTGGATTTGAACCGCAGACCTTGTAGGTGTCATTCCAAAGCCACACATAATAGCTGCTCACTTAATATCCAAGCCCCTTGGATTTTCTTTGGTATGAACCATCATCCTGGCACTTATTTAAACACTAATTTAATAAGGATGGCATCAGCCCTCACCGTCAAAGGAAATACAAAAGACCTGAAGCTGCTCCGTCCTTCTTTCTTTCCCTCCCTCCTTCCTCCTCCGCCTCTTATTTCCTTTCTTTCTTCCCTTCGTCTCCCTCTCTCCCTTATTATGGATTGAACTCCGTCCTTAAGCAAATGTGTTAGAATCCAGACCCCCCATACCTGTGAAACACTGCAACCACCATGAAACGTAATCACGTTCCATAATGCAATCGAATGCTATGTTAACAAGAAGTGAAAAAATACCAGTCACAAAACTGCTTAACTAAAATGAATGCTGTAGAGATGGCAGGAGAGGTTTGTACAAAATGAGTTTATCTGCTATAGAACAGGACGTTTTGTGGGTTTAGTAGTTTTTTAAAATAGTCTAAACACTTTTTTCATGAAAATGAAATCAGACATTTTGGAAATTACTGAGGCAGTTCTGTTGTCATTGTGTGCCATAAAGTCAATCCTGACTTATAGTGACCCTGTATAGGGTTTCCAAGAGTGGCTGGTGAGTCTGAACTGTCAACTTTGTGGCTACCAGTCTCGTGCTTATCCTACAGCACCATACCAGGACTCGATACATCCCAGTTGTTGTTGATGTAGTTAAGTGTTGAGTCAGTTCTGACTCATACCAACTTTGTATAGGGTTTCCGAGGAGTGGCTGGTGGGTTTGAACCACTGACCTTATGGTTAGCAGTGCTACACCAGGACTCGGTACATCCCTTGTTGTTGTTGTGAAGTACCGTCAAGTTGGTTCCGACCCATAGCGACTCTGTATAGGGTTTCTGAGGAGCAGCTGGTAAGCTTGAACCCCTGACCTTGCAGTTCAAATGGCTTTGCAGTCTGGCGCATTAACCCACAGCACCACACCAAGACTCCTTACATCCCTAGCAACCTCCAAATCCAGGCTCACTTAATTCCAGAAGGCAAGGCTTTGCACCATCTGTTCCCTGCTACCTCCTACAGCTTTAGTGTGGCTGTGCTCCCACATGCCTTTTGTACTGTGTATTTTCTAAGATACCTGATGCTCCCTAAACAAGCCCTCTTTAGACTCACCTCTTTGCATGCACACCTGCTGTTCTGTCCACTGTCATACCATTTCCCCCATCCAACTGGTGAATTCATGCTTCGTCCAAGTATCACCTCCTCCAGAAAGTCTCCCTAGATTTTTCTGGGTTCCTGCAGCCCTTAAGCACACTGTGTTGAGAATTGATGAGTGTGCTGGTACCACTAGACTGCCACGTCTCGGAGGGTGCATCCCTTTTCTTACTCCCTTGTGTAGTCTCAAGCCCTACACTGATGCCCGGGATCCCAAGTTCTCACTCAATGTCAGCCAGAAAAAGGAACGAATGAAAGTCCCCAGTTAGTGGCCACCTGTGTAGAACAATCTGAAAGTAGCTGGAAAAGACCCACCGCCCACCAACCAGCATTCTCCCTGTGGACATTTCCAACATGCCTCTGCTGAAATGAAAATGCCCTTTGTAACACTTTAACACTTGCAAGCAAATAAGCAGGGATTAATTAATCATAATCTGGCCATCACAGCTTGTTAAAACTATTCCCATCCAACACTGAGCACACGAGAGTGTCCAGGAGAGGAAAACAAGCAACTCAGGAAAGGAGATGCTGCGTCCTATAAGAATATACCCCCGAGTCTGAAAGAGGCACCCACACACACAAAGCCCAGAGTTCTCTCTTTGCCTTCATCCTGTGTTGGCACTGAGGAGCCAGTATCTCTTTCCCTAGACCAGGAAGCCTACGGGATCCAGTGTCTTGTGCATCACTGGACCCACAACAGTCAACACAATGCCTAGTGCACTTGGGTTGTTCATTAGGAATTTGGGGAACAAATTAAATTGAATTCCATAAACAACCTACATATTTAGTGAGGTAGAGATATTCATTACAGTACCTGACAGCATCCCAGATAGTCAGATGGGTGGATAGACAGACAAAGGACATGTACACAGCTCTGGCTTCATTCCTTACCCATCCTGCCAACTCTAACACCAAGAAGATTGATAAAAGGGAGGGAGGAATGTAGACCAGCAGAGCACAGCATGCCCACATCATGCCAGGATCAAGCTGTCTGATTAGAACACAGTGGTTGAGTGCACAGAAAAGGATCATAAGGATGATCATGAAGTCCCAGCATATGTTACTTGGCACAGAAAGCCACCTACACATTAATATTTGTGCATCTAAGCTGTGCTTACAAATGTTAGCATTCAGGCAAATTGGAATGAAGGCAGCCTTGGCCAGGAGCCCGGGACTTGTAGTACCTATTCCACCATCAATTATCATGGTTGAGCCCCTCTTCAATGCCGGACACCCTGCTGATCCCGTTCCATGCATCAGGTGATTTCATCCTGTGATATATGAGTCATTCTTTCATAGCACCTGGCAAAGATATGCCTACTTGGCACAGAGTAAGCACTCTCTAGATATTTATTAAATGATGGACTGACCAAGACCTACTGAGATGAAATGACTTGTCCAAGGACATTGATAAGAGGTTGATCCAGAATCCAAGGTCAGACCAACTACTCCAGAAATGTAAAGATGAGAAGAGCGTCCCCCTGCATGCATGAGGGTGCCTCTCAGAGGTTACTGTTCCATATCACTAGGACACTGTCTTTAGAGTCAACTCCTCTTTTGAAAAAATTTTTCTCAATCTCTCTCTCTAGATTGTTGATTCAGTCAGTGAAGATAGGTCACGGGTATTTCACCATGCTGAGGGAGGAAAGTGCAATGAAAAAGAGGCAACAGCAGCTTCAGAAACTGGAAGAGGAAAAAAGAAATCAATTCCAACCAGCCAAAAAGATCTCAGAAATGCATTATGGTGACACACGTTTGACGTAAGTGGGTGCAGTGGCACTGGCATTAGTGGTCTTGGCAAGGTTCATGGGGAATGAACAGTACCTGGGTGGGTAAAGTAAAATCTTCCCTATATGCATGCATCATGTCTGAAAGTAGGAGCTACACAGGAAACAAGCCCTTGCTAGACTCGTTCTTACCTCTGAATTTTTTCTGTGCCTTTCCTTGGATCCTAAATATATTTCTCACCCAGACAATGAGAGAGGGGGGGTGCAAGAATTAAATGCAAAAGAGGTAAATACTATTACATATACAATCCTGTAGTAACAGACATCTCCAAGCAGATGTATGGATAGACACACCAGCTAGACAAGTGAGAGATGGGGGGTTGAAGTATATCCATGAGTATGTATATGAATATATACAATGTTGTTGTAATGGGTGCCATCAAGTCATCTCTAACTCATAGAGGCCCTATGCACACCAAGTCATCTGTAACTCATAGAGACCCTATGCACACCAGGTCATCTGTAACTCATAGAGACCCTATGCACAACAGAGCGAAGCACTGCCCAGTCCTGCCCCATCCTCAAAATAGTTGCTAGGCTTAAGCCCACTACTACTGCTGCTACTTTGCCAATGCATCTCATTGAGGGTCTTCCTCTTTTTCACTGACCCTCCACTTTACCAAGCATGACGTCCTTCTCCATGAACTGGACCCTTCTGATAAAATATCCAAAGTATGAGAGACAAAGTGTGGCAATCCTAGCTTCTAAGAAGCATTCTGGCTGTCCTTCTTTCAACATAGATTTGTTTGTTCTTCTGGCAATTCATGATACTATTAATATTCTTCTCCAACACCATAACTCAAATACATCAATTTTTCTATGGTCTTCCTTATTCATTGTCCAACTTTCCCATGCACATGAGGCTACTGAAAATACCATGGCTTGGGTCAGGTACACCATAGTCCTCAAACTGTTATCTTTGCTCTTCAACACTTTAAAGAAGTCTTGTGCAGCAGATTTGTCTAATGCAATATGTCATTTGATTTCTTGACTGGGGCTTTCAAGAGTGTTGATGGTTGATCTGAGCAAAATGAAGTCTTTGACAACTTCAGTCTTTTCTTCATTTGTCTTGATGGTCCAGTGGTAAGCATTTTTGTTTTCTTTACATCGAGGTGCAACCCATACCAAAAGCTTTGGTCATTGATCTTCATCAGTATTTTAAGTCCTCTCTGCCTTCATCAAGCAAGGTTGTATCATCTGCATATTTCAAGTTGTTTATGAGCCTTCCTCCAATCCTGATGTCATGACTTTCTTCATATAATCCAGCTTCTGGATTATTTGCTCAGCATACAGACTGAATAAGTATGGTGAAAGAATACACCCCTGGCACACACTTTTGCTAATACTAAACCATTCAATGTTCCCTTTTCTATTCGAACAACTGCCTCTTGCTCTATGTACAGGTTCCTCATGAGCACAATTAAGTGTTCTGGAATATCTATTATCTGCAATATTATCCACAGTTTTTCATGATCTACCAGTTAAAAGCCTCTGCACAATAAGTAAAGTACAGGTAAACATCTTTCTGGTATTCTCTATGTTCAGTCAAAGTTCATCTGATGTCAACAACGATATCCCTCATTCCATGTACTCTTCTGAATCCAACTTGAACTTCTGGAAGTTCCTTATCAATGTACTGTTCCAGCTATTTTTAAATTATCTCCAGAAAAATTTTACTTGTATGTGATATCAATGGTATTGTTCAATGATTTCCACATTCCTTTGGGTCACCTCTCTTTGGAATGGACACAAATATGGATCTCTTCCCATCAGTTAGCCACGTAGTTTTCTTCCAAATTTCTTGGCATAGATGAGTGAGCATCTCAATTGCTTCATCCATAAAGAGAAACATCTGTAAACATCCATTAATAATTGGAAGTTGGAATGTATGACATATGAATCTAGGAACATTGGAAATTGTCAAAAATGAAATCAAACACATAAACATTGACATCCTAGGCATTAAGGAACTGAACAGATTTGAAGCATTAGATACTAAAAACTGAAGACAAGAAGAGTTGTGAGATGACATTAAGAATATCATACAGGAAGAAAGCAAAAGATCATTGAGAAGACAAGAGAGAAGGAAAAGACCAAAATGGATGTCAGGACAGACTCTAAAACTTGCTCTCCAGTGTAGAGATACTAAAGCAAATGGAAGAAGTGAGAGACACAAGAGGAGAACAGAAAATTTCAAAGGTCAGCTCAAGAAGACAGAATCAAACATTATAACATATTGTTCAAATACTTGGAGTTATAAAATCAAAACGGAAGAACATGCTCAGCATTTCTCAAGTCTGAGGGAACTGAAGAAAAAATTTAAACTTTGCAGTATTGAAGGATTCTCTGGGCAAAATACTGAATGGTGAAGAAAGTATCAAAAGTAAATGGAAGGAATATACAGAGTCACTGTACCAAAAAGGAATGGTCAATGTTCAACCGTTTTAAGAGATAGTATATGATCAACAGCCAATGATCCTGAAAGAAGTCCAAGGTACATTGTAGTCACTGGCAAAGAACAAGGCACCGGGCATTAATGGAATACAAATTGAAATATTTCAACAAAATGAAGTGGCACTGGAGGCACTCATCTACACCAAGAAATTTGGAAGTCACTACCTGGGTCAACCTCACTATCGTTGGCATGCTTGAGCCCAGTGATGCTGCCACTTTGCCAGTCCATCTCTCTGGGGGTCTTCCTCTTTTTCTCTGACCCTCCACCTTACCAAACATGATATCCTTCTCCAGTGACTGGTCTCTCCTGACAATATGTCTGAAGTATAAGACAAGAAGTTTGGCCATCCTGGTCTCCAATGAGCATTCTGGCTGCACTTCTTCCAATACAGATCTGTTGGTTCTTTTGGCAGCCCATGGCACTTTCAGTATTCTCCTCCAACACCATAACTCAAATGCATCAATTCTTCTACAGTCTTCCTTATTCACTGTCTAACTTTTGCACGCATATGAGGTTATTGAAATTACCATGGCTTGGGTCAGGCGCACCTTAGTCCTCAAGTTGACATCTTTGCTCTTCAACACTTTAACAAGGTCTTGTGCAGCAGATCTGCCCAATCCAATATGTTGTTTGATTTCTTGACTGCTGCTTCCATGAGTGTTGATGGTTGAACCGAGAAAACTTAAGTTTTTGACAACTTAAATCTTTTCTCCATTGATAAGAATGTTGTTTACTGGTCCAGTGGTGAGGATTTTTGTTTTTTTTACATTGAGATGCAATCCATACCAAAGGAGGTAGTCTTTGATCTTGACTAGTAAGTATTTTAAGTCCTCTTCACTTTCAGCAAGCAAGATTGTATCATCTGCATATCGCAAGTTGTTAATGAGTCTTCCTCCAATCTTGATGTCATGTTTTTCTTCATATAACCCAGTTTCTCAGATCATTTGCTCAGCATACAGACAAATTTATGAAAACATCTTAGACATAAGTAAATATCTTGAAGGAATGAATCACTAAACCCTAAGGGAAAGAATACCACCCTGTTGCACACCTTTCCTGATTTTAAACCATTCGGTGTTCCTTTGTTCTGTTCAAACAACTACCTCTTGGTCTATATACAGGTTCCTCATGACCATAATGAAATGTTCTGGAATACTCATACTTTGCAATGTTGTCCATGCTTGTCATGACCCACACAATCAAAAGACTGCATAATAAATAAAGCACAAGTAAACATCTTTCTGGTATTCTCTGCTTTCAGCCAAGATCCATCTGACATCAACAGTGATATACCTTGTTCCACAGCCTCTTCTGAATCTGGCTTGAACCTGTGGAAGTTCTCTGTCAATGTATGAATGCAGCCATTTCTGTATCACCTTTAGTAAAATTTTACTCACATAGGATATCAATGATCTTGTCTAATGATTTCTGCATTCCATTGGGTCACCTCTCTTTGGAATGGGCAAAAATACAGATCTCTTCCAATCAGTTGGCCAGATAGTTGTCTTCCAAATTTCCTGGCATAGATGAGGGAGTGAGTGCCTCCAGTGCTGCCTTACTTTCTTGAAAGATTTCAATTGTATTCCATCAATTCCTGGTGTCTGTTCTTTGCCAATACCTTCAATGTACCTTGGACTCCTTCCTTCCAGATCATTAGCTCTTGATCATATGCTAACTCTTGAAATGGTTATACACTGATCATTTCCATTTGGTACAGTGACTCTTAGTATTCCTTCCATC